GGATGGCGAGGCCTTAGCATCCCTGCAGCTCTCCCTCTCTGCCAGCTGCCATGACCGGGAATTTAAAGTGGCGGCAAACAACCTCAGCCTAATTTTCACTGGGTCAGACTCTCCAGGTCTGTGCTTTCACGGCTAAGTTCTCTGTCCTCCCTATCTTATCTCCTCTCTCTCATATTCACCCTGTAACATTATGGCCACTGGAGTCAGCAGCAAGAGGACCCAGAACAGAGAGCTGCCAGACTGCAGAACATTGACCGGGAATTTAAAGTGGCGGCAAACAACCTCAGCCTAATTTTCACTGGGTCAGACTCTCCAGGTCTGTGCTTTCACGGCTAAGTTCTCTGTCCTCCCTATCTTATCTCCTCTCTCTCATATTCACCCTGTAACATTATGGCCACTGGAGTCAGCAGCAAGAGGACCCAGAACAGAGAGCTGCCAGACTGCAGAACATGCTCCGTTCTCTTTGGTGCACTGCACATGTCTGCAGGGTGTTTGGCTTTAGGTGGGGAGGAAACATCACATGCTCCCTAATCTCTAGTGGTTGTGGGGAGATGGGTTTTACATTGTGAGCACCCTCCCCCACCCAAGCAATCCTGGTCTCATCTCCCCAGTCACTCTCAGTAATCAGGAAGCTTTGGATTCAAACCAAAGCTGGACATCAGCAGCTTGACCACCCCTGCTCTTTCCCAGCACTCACCATCATCAGCTTCAGGCTCCTTCACTACCAGTTTCTCACTTTCTGAGTCTTGATCTTCTTCCTGGAGAAAAGAAAAGAAGTGTTCTTAGGTACAAGCTCCATATAAATTACTCAAGGCCTTCACTGGGACATCAGTCGAGGCAGTGTTGCCTAGTGGACAGGGCACTGAAGCAGGACTCATGAGACGGATTTAGTTTTGGATTCTGCCACCAACCTCACGAGTGACCTTGGGCAAGTCCTATCATCTCTCTCAGGCTCCATGTCCCTGATCTCCTTTGTAAAGTGCTGCGAGATGTAGGGATGGAAAGCGCGTATAGGAGCTCACACTAATCATGTCACACCGCCGAAACAGTTGCCTCTAGTCAAACACTGCTCTGAAGGCAGGATTAAGAGTTTCCTCACGGACTTTTCCATGGTGCTCTGCGCTACACTATCTAAGTGCTTCACAAACGTTAATGAATGCATCTGTGCAAACAGCCTGAGAGGAAGCGTATGACCCATTTTGTGTAGATGGGGCATGCTGGCACTGTCCTCGCACCTTCCCTACCTCATTGTTCCAGTGGCTTTGCCCAGCCAGTCCAAGTGCTCCCCTCACTCATAAGCGGTGGGGGAAAATATAATTTGTGAGGGCTGGGCCCCATTTGACCCCTGCTCCCCCATCCCGCAGGGCAGTGGCAGGGCCAGCACACACCGGTGCTGTATGCAGTGGCGGAGGAGCGGCTGCATGCCGAGCGGAGCTGGGCACTGCAGGATGGCGGCACTGTGGTGCTGCTGCTATTGCCAGCCACAGCAAAGAGTTTGGCGGGGGAGCTAAGCTCCATTAGCCCTGGCCTTCTTCCACCTATGCCCTGCTCATTAGACCTGTTGAAATCAGCGGTTTCAGTCCCAGTCACCTGCATGTTTCCTTTCTTGGCTCCCAGTCCCATCTCCTTGCCTACTCAATCTCGATCACCCTCTCTCTGCCATCAGCTGCCTCTGGCCCCAAACTCCCCCACAGCCCTTCTCCACTCCAGCTCTTATCCTCTCTGCATTCAATTCAAAGAGCTTCCATCTGCTGGTTGGAAGTCAGCTTGCAGAGTACTGACAGCACGGGAGACACGGCCAGGAACGGCAACGGAAAGGGAAGTTCTGCCCGGGTGGCATTTCTTTCAGCCCCAGAAGTGAACTTCTCCCTCAGTGCAGGGGTCAGCGGAGTAACCATGAATGTACAAAAGTAGGGATCTGGAAGCCTAGAATGGACTGTAGGAAGACTGAACCAAGGCTAAGGCCTTGTTAGGATTCACCCTTGCTCCCTTGGAGGCTGCTGAAAGAAACAAGTCCACAGTCTCTGCTCCAAAGGCAGGGCTGAGATTAGCAGTTAAAAGCCACAAAGGAACAAGATACACCAATCTTAAAGTACATTGTAAGGTCAGTTCTGAAATCTCAGCACTTCAGAGAGCCCTGGGAATAGGCCCTAATGTGGAATATGGGAGAGAGAGACTCCATGCTCTGACCAGGTTATTCTCCATTGGAGGAGGGGAAGGGAGAGGGTCGCTGTCCTTCTACTTCCAAAAGCAAGTCTCTTGAGATATCCCATCCTACCACCCACACCACCCTCTAGCACCTAGATTCAGGAACACGTGTCAGAAAGGCATTCTCTCAATGCCTCAGCCGTCCTACAGAACAGGCTGAAACAGTATGTCAGCATCAACCAACTTTGCTTTCCTAGCTCCTGCTTCCACTCCCAACTCCTCTGGCTTCCCACCTTTGATTCAAAGTGACAGGTCTTCTGAAGCCGCTATAGATTGCTGGCTGTGCAACGGGCAGGAGGATGGGGTGTGCGCAGGTAGAGCCGTAAAAAGCCGCCAAGCAGGTTTAAGGAGAAAGAGAGGCTGAGGAGTCAAGCCGGAGAAGAGACAGAGAAAAGCAAGATGGCTGTGAGGGCTCTGTGAAACGAATGCAGCCAGGAATGTGGATAGAAGAGACAGACCAGAAATAAGAGCTTTCCCCTTGCAGAACTGGGCACTGGGTTTTTTAGGATTGTTTTATATCAATACTAGGAATCTGGTATGTAACCCGGAGCCCAGAACTGGGTTAGCTGTATCATCAGTGGGGAATGTGCATTATTCACAGCCAGTTGGGCTCTGTTTGCCTCTCTGACTCACTGACAGGACACACGCCCTACATCTTCCCCCTCCACACATACACTTGCATCTATTTTGGTCCATGCTTCCAAAAATGGAAGCTCCCTTTGAGTCTCCATTCATCTCTTTCCCAGGCCGTATTAGGGGGGAAAAGAGGGGAGCTGGGTGGGGGCACCTCATGAGCCGTTTCTCTGATGAATGGCCTTGGAAAGAATGTCAGAGGCGTTTCAGGGTGGCCCCAGCTCAGCCCTCAGGAACGCCGCACAGAGGTGTCTTCTCCATGAACAGAAGCCAGGGCACCAGTACTCCGGGCACTTCTGCCCTCTCAGTGGATCAAAGCAGGCTGAGCAGACCAGGCCCACTGGGATCATCTGGTCCAGCTGATGCAGAATTGTTCTATACCCGGATTTTCATGCCTGATTAGTCACAGCTGCCAAGTCCTTCAATAGGAGCCCTGGGTGATTAACACCTAGCAGTCTGACTTGATTCGTTTTTCCCTGTAGAATAGTTTTGGGACCCCAGCCTTGAGCAGCCATCCAAGAAGTATCCCCTCAATTGCTTTGCTCAAGAATGACACTGGAGTGGGATTCCTGGAACAACTCCCCAAACGAACATCAAAGCCCCAATGGTACCTAGGAGCTGCAAATGCCAGTGAGCAGAATGAACATTTTTGGAAGGGGGTAGTTAGTGGGGAAAGAACAAAGGCTACTGCTCACAGCTACCAGCCATTTCCCTGGAGCTCCCCTATCTGCACTGTGCAATAAAGCATCAACTATGGGAAAGCCTCCCCTTGGAGAACCATCCCCTTGAGCCATGAAATGCCCAGACCTATTAAGTATCACAGGATCTCATCCTGACTGCTCACATGAACCCATTTCAGCCCTTCTCTTCACCCATGCTTCCCACTTCAAGCAGTCAACATACCTTTAAGAGATGATCTGGCAAGACTGTAAGCCAGCCCCGAGACTCCTGAACCATGGACAGACCCAGAACAAATGCAAGTGATAATAAATAAATAAGCTCACTCTTATTGGAATAGCACGTCCATATGGGGAGTAACTCTGTAATTTAACTAGTGGTGAGAGAGGGCCCTGAGTGCTGATTACGGGGGGGGGGGGGGGGG